TGGCTCAGGTCATGATCCCAGCATCCTGGGATCGAGTCCCACATCGGGCTCCTTGCTCATCAGGGAGCCTGCTTCTCCCTCTGCCTCTGCCTGCCATTCTGTCTGCCTGTGCTCGCTCTCTCTCCCTCTCTCTCTCTCTGACAAATAAATAAATAAAATCTTTAAAAAAAATTAAAAAAATTAAAAAATAGTATCAAGAAAATAAGAGTTAAAGTATCTTAACTTGTCTGCTAGCAGTATCAGATTTAAATCTGTTCCACTTTTCTGTGTATCCTCCAGCAGATATTACCACCCGATGGTAAAGTCATTTCTCTGTAAAACACTTGTGAAATGAATCAGGTTGAACTGAAAACTTTTCTGGCAGTGGTAATTAGCTAGGAAGCCTGCTGCTTGATCCTCGTGCCTTGATGTGGGCCCACATCAGTGCAGAGCTCACATATATATGTAAGGGAACAGAACCCCTTCATTTGCTTCAGTGCCATTGTCATTCTGCCCCCAATCACCTCTAGACCCAATAAAATAACAGTTCGGAGAAGGGGCTGCTTCCTACTCAGAAAGAGGGCAGTGAACGCAGTCTCTAACCCACACTTACTGCGCCAGTAAGCCTTTTCACTCACGTCACTGGTGGTCACCAGTTTCCGCCATTTTGAAATAAAGGCCAGTTCCCTTTCTCATTTTTTAGCAATGGGTGCGGGCTCTTTAGTGTACTGATTTTTCCCTTGATATCTTAAATCTTCTTTACGTGACAAATAGATCTAATGCTCATATGCAGTTCTTGTTTTTGTCTTAGAACAATTATTTGATTTCACAAAAGGATAAACACAATAAAATCGCTGTTTTCTTGTATGGACTTTTCAGCTGCAAGTCACACAAAAATCTGTTTACAGTGGTTTCATCAAAGAGGTTATTCTTCAACACTTTTGCTTTCGTCTTTGTGCTTGTCAACCTTGTGAGCTCTTACGTCTGCATTCCATGAAGGTCGAGGAAGGAGGACATGGGCAAAGCAGCACTGGCATCACCTTTACCCTCCTGCTGGGAAAGAAGCCTTTGTGGACATCCTTATGTTGCACTTCCCTTAGGTCTTATTGTCCCAGATGGTGTCAAATGACCACATCTAGATGTGAGAGGCTGGCAAAGCCAACATTTTTAGCTGGGCACATTGCTGCCTTGAACCAAATCAGGGTTCAGTCAGCAAGAAAGAGGGAATGGACGTTGGGTGGGCAACTACAGTGTCTGCCTGGGCTGCTGATGGCAGCCACATAATTTCATATGAATGGGGGGCCCACTAGGACATTTTACTTACTGTATCACGTGAGTGTGAAACATTGCTCCTTACTCGGATAATTTCCAGTCTACAAGGAAATTTCAATTTCGTTTTGCCTTTGCAGGAAGAACTATGCCATTAGATTGACTCCTGCCTAAGTACAATTTTCACAGAAGACTCGGAGTAAATTAGGAGCTATTAGTGCTTGATAATAGCTCATGGTATTCAGAAATAGAAAACCAGATATTGATTTTAGACAAGCTAAGCTCTGAAATAGGAGTAAAGTGGGGATTAGCTTCCAGCATGGTGGTCAGGATATGCCAAATAATGCCTACAGGTGTTAATTGTTGCTGTCTTTATGATTTTTGATTCATTTATAAAATGTTTTTATCTGGTATTTATTATGTGCCAGTTGCTGCTTGTAGTGGGTTCTGGGGCTCCAGTGGTAGACTCATTAGATAAGGTGAATGTCCTGACTCTAGTGAAGGGAAACAGGAGCTCAGCAGATAAACTAGGAAATCGATTTCAGTTAAAGTGGCAAAAAGCAGGCAAGGAAGGGTAAAATGTTCAGGATGGTCTCTCTGAAAAAAATGAATTCAAGTTGAGAACATTTTCTTCTTGAGACTTAATTCTTTAAATATCCAAGTTAAAAGGAAGATATTCTTGGTAAAAATGCAATTATTTTCTGAGGAAAAAAACATTAATTTTATCATAGGTTCCCTTATCCTAGAGGCAATAATATGAAGGATTATAGAATTCACAGGTTTCTTTTCCCCAACAGATGGCTGTCTAATTCACCGTTGAGTCAACCCATTAAACTTCATCATACAAAATGTACCAAGGAAAATTGTTAGATTCCATGCTTTTTTATTGCATGTTCTTCTCTACTTCTTCTTTGTTATGACCCTTGCTTGCGGTTCTTAATGTAATAACTCTTCTCATAATAGTTGAGGTCATACTCTTCCTTACGTATCTAACAAGTAGAGAAATATAACCCCCATCGGGACATTGGAGATAAGTGTGCATTGATAAATATTTAAAAGATCACTTCAAGCCTAATTTAATCAAGTGCATTGAAATAGTCCTGAAAAACATATTAAAGAGCCTTCACTGACAGTTTATTGGAAAGTTGTCCACACAGAGCGACAGGCTGACTGACAGAAAGCATTTGTTTGGTGGTTTGTTTATAGGTATAATATTCCAGGTCTTTTTGACGGTGGCCTTAGTAGTGCATTGTGAAGCGCAGTTTGGAGAAAACTCTATTTATATTCTGTGCTTCTTTCTTATAAATCTTTTTATTTACCGACTGACATAAACATACTTCTTAATTAGAGACTTGCTTACAGTTCTTTAACTGTAGTTTTCATTGAATTTGTTTAAAAGTTGTTTCTTTCTCAAGGCTGCTTCCAAAAGCTACCTTTGGATGAGGCAACATGTTTCTCTCTGTTTATCCCTCAAGGTGTTTTGCAAAATTATGAAGGCATAATAAGTGTCTAAGACAGATTTTCTTCTCACTCAATAAACTTACCGAAAATGTCTCTAAGGTCTAAATATTTGCTGTGGTACCTTCTAATATTTGTTATATGTAGGCCGTGGGCTTGTATATAGCCTGTGAGCGTCTACAGCTTGCAGGTTATAAACAAAGCTGTAGAAATGGCAGCCCAGGAACATATCTTGAGGTTCTCTGACATCTTCAGGTTAACGAGAGGAGGGAGATCTGGCAAACAGTATTCCAAGAGAATGCCCATATGCAGCAAGGAAACTGTCGGCAGGGGTGGGGTGGGGGGGGGGGTGGGTGCTGCCACCAAAGCTTGTGGACAGTAACAACTTGAGAAGGGATAGTGCGTAATCACACCAAGGCAGCAAGTGTGATGTATCCTTAGTAGCCCATGATGGGCTTCATGCACAGAAGTCGTTAGTGACCTGAGAGGAATGACATGGTTTGAGAAGCGAGATGTGAGGAAACAGAAATAACTTCTCTGAGAAGTCTGACTGGGAAAGGCAAAACAGTGAATGGCTCCTAAACGGGAATGTGAGTCCCAAGGAGAGCGTTAAGCTTTTGTTTTCTGTTTTGTTTTGTCTTTGTTTTTTTTTCTTTTTGTGGTGGGGAAACTGGAATTTGTTGAAATACTGGTACAAAAGATTCAATAGTGCAGGAGTGACAAGAATATATTAAAGCCTAAAGACCCTATAGATAAGATCCAAATGGAAAGGGTGAGAGACCCACCCTGGAGGGGAGAGAGCTCCTCATTGTAATGGAAAGGAAGGAGGGAATGCTGTACCCCACGGACAGGTTCCTGTTTTCCCAGTGAAGTACAGGCAGGGGCAGCTCTGAGAACCAGAGGTAGAAGCTTGTGGAGGCCTGGGAGAGTGGGGAGGGGCTCAGGTGACACTGAAGACCATAGTTTTGTTAACAGTGAATCTGTACCATTGTGTAATTTTTTCTAGGAGAACTTAGTCCTTTGAAACACAGACCAGCAGGGTGGTGCCACTGACCCATGGCAAGCTCTTTATATCCTTCCTACAGTCACCTGTCACAGAAGGTCGTCGAGGCAAGGGGGCTTAAGTTATTTGCAACAGAAGGGAGCTACTGGTTGGCAGAATCGAAGAAAAGGGAAGGGAGTTATTTATGAAGGGAGAGAAGTGAGGATGGGAAAGAAGGGACTCCGTGGCCTGGAAACTCCCAGGATATTGAACCATCATCGGCAGCTGGGCTACCTCAGCAAGCAATCTGGAAGGATACGATTTTGTAGTCAGATGGCCTGTTTGCTTAGTGCTTTTGGAAGCAGTGTCATTTTGTGTGATGACAAGATCCAGAGCGCTTTTTCTAGAGAGAGAGCAGACTGAGGAAAATCACAGAACAGAGAAACAGGGTTGAGCTCCTGATAATCTTTAGAGATAGATTGCCCTTGGGCTTGATAGAGTTTCTCTCTGGCCTGGAGTGGTTACATATAGTACATATTAGCATTGATATTAGTATTAAGTATATACACCATTATAATATTAATGCAGCATAAGTGTTACTGTACGTAGTATTAGTGAAGTGGAGTAGGAGTCAGTGCTTTTTTTCAGCTAGCTTTGAAAGCTACTTAAGCGTGGCTAGGGCTATGTTCACCATCTTTGGCATGTCTCATTTATTAGCTGAATTTTTTTTAAGATTTTATTTATTTAAGAGAGAAAGAGAGGGAGAGCAGAGGGGCAGAGTGAGAGGGAGAAATAGGTACCCCACTAAGCAGAGAGCCTGACACAGGGCTCAACCCCAGGACTCTGGGATCATGACCTGAGCCAAAGGCAGACTCCTAACTGACTGAGCCACCCAGGCACCCCTATTTATTGAATTTCTGTCCTGTATTTGGGGGAGTCTTGTTGTGGTTGAGTGGAGTTTCAAAGGGAACCACAAACCAGACCTCACTCTTTCACATTCTTAGCTCATGGTTATATCGCCTTTGCCAGTATGATTCTCTAAAAGAAATGGATAAATGTTCTCATATTTTTAAAACATTTCAATGCCTGTATATTTCGCTCTGCCTCAGATATCAGTTGTGTTAGTTTTATCTATGACAGCACTGATATTTTCTGCTAAATCATGTTATAAAACATCACAAGTATCCAGTAAGTGTTTTAGTGATGGTTTGTTTTTAATTTGCAAAGTCTCAATGAATATCATTTACATATTTTAGTCTTTCTAGTTCTTTACTGAGGGTGTTTTCAAGGTATGTTCTTTTACTTCCTGAAGGAGCAAATGATGTGAAAATCCTTCCAGGGCAAGCTGTTTGTCCTACTCCAGGGTGCCGAGGAATAGGCCATATCCGTGGTCCACGGTATTCAGGACATCACAGGTAAAAATTTTTCTTGTTTAAATTATTTTAGGGATGAATTGGAACAGTGTGCAGATTAGCAGCTATAGGTAGCATCATAAATGACTCTCTTGGAGCCAAATGCCTTCCCATCATGCTCCCTTCTCTGTGTCTCTAAGGCCCCACTTGACATTCCCTGCTGCCTGCCCACCTCTGCCCTTCCTGGAGCTTTCTTGGACCCTTGAGGTCTTTCCTGGACCTGCATCACTTCCCAGAACCTCTGCTGTCTGACACTTTCCTTAACAAGTGCCTGTTCTATGGGACGTGCTCACCACTCTGTGTCCCACCCCAGGCCTGAATTTTCTCCACACAAATGCTGCATCCTGCTGTCTTCTAGAGAAATTCCAGAGCTTCTTGCCTCTCCCCCCTATTGTTTTCACCTTGCCCCTATTTCCCTTTCTCTATGTTTTAGTCATTTGGAGATGAGATAATTCAGTGATAGAATAGAAAGTATTAAGTATAAGTTATATTGAAGCATATACCCATGTATCCAATATTTCAGAAAAGTTTAGAGAGGATAGTGCTTTAAGAAAAAGTAAGTACAAATAAATCCGTATAAGTCCCTACTGTTTTTTCTGTTCCCATCAATTAGTAAAATAACATAGAGATGAATTATTCATATGGTGCTATAGTTACAGAATATGTAAAATAAAAAAATTTGTTGAAATACAAAAATACATAAGATAAATGTCATAGATAAGTAGAAAGAGAAGAGAATAAGTTATGAAATGTGTGATGCAAGGTAATATTTGTTTGAACAAAAGAGATCCATGTGGAAGTCTTGCTTTACCAGGTGGTTGCAATCCTGGAAGCCAGCGCTGAAAACAGTTCTAAATGAACTACTAAAGCAAATGTTACTATAAGGAATAACAGTAAACACTCCCAAATAGCATAAATGAATATGTTATATGTGTAAACGTAACATTAACACTTAAAAGGATGTCATATAGAATCCATAAAAAAAGAAATAAAGATGTGTGGACATCTTGGGTACTTGGGCAAATGTGTAGGACTCATGGGCTAGGAGACTGGGGACAGATCTCTGGAGAAATTGTGTTATGTGGGGGAAGGAGGAAAAGAGACTAAAGGACAAAAAGTGAGAGGGAAGGGGAGTGGTCACACCATTTGGGGGACTCTGTATTAGGTGAAGACCCTGTTGAAACAGAGCCATTTTTCAGACATCCTTAGGGGTATATAGCTATGAAGAATCTTCCTTGGGCTTTTGTTGTGGGCTTCTTTTTGTTTTTTTAAAATCTAGAACTGCATACCCCTTTATGATTAGTCACGAGTCATATATGCCTGTTTAAATTAAAATTAATCAAAATTATGGGGCGCCTGGATGGCTCAGTGGGTTAAGCCTCTGCCTTTGGCTCAGGTCATGATCCCAGGGTCCTGGGATCGAGCCCCGCATCAGGCTCTCTGCTCAGCAGTTAGCCTGCTTCTCCCCTCCCCTCTCTTTGCCTGCCTCTCTGCCTACTTGTGATCTCTCTTTCTCTGTCAAATAAATAAATAAAATCTTTAAAAAATTAATCAAAATTAAACAAAAACTAAATCCTCTGTTCCTCAATCACATGTATCCAAGTGTGCCCATTCACCACCATACTGGATGGCACAGAAAGCAATGTAGCATAGCCATGAGAGTGTTTACCGTGTTCTGCTTTCTCCTAGTAGATTTTTGAGTGGCAGTTATTTCCAGATGAAAAGTGAGTCCTTCCTTCAAAACTTGGGTCATTATCCTGAAAGTTAGCAAGACTGTAACATTGTGGTTGGCCTGGTTTACCCTCCTGAGGCACTGGGGCTGAAATAACAAATATCACCCTGGACAGCTCCAGCATGATTACCCTGGAGATAAAATTACCAGGTAGCTCAGTCAAGGTCTCTTCTTCCACTTCATCACAACGGACTTGGCTCCCACACTGTTCCTACATGTGGTTCACTTGCTTCTCCCTGCTTGGATTCGGAAAACATAGTGAACAGAGTCACAATGGGTGTGCTCCACTTTGTTCCAGCAGCTTCCTGGAACTTTTCTCATTCAGTATGGAACAGACAGACCCAGTTGTTCGTATTTGTAGTATCTAATTATGAATAATATTGGGACTGTCCGACATGATTTCCTCCATCCACCATGCAGCCTTTAAAGATTGGCCTCAGAACTTCTAAAGAAACTGGAAGAGTGTGGAAGTAGAATTTAAAGAAAGGCATTCAGTGAAGCCTAGCAGAAAAATCAAATACTGCACCTATATGATAGTCAGAAAGAAAGCACAAGGCAGTCTTTCTCCAGACATAACGATTCATAGGGCTGCTCAGGGCAGTGTCTTTGTGACTGGGTCTTGGCTCTCTTCCCGCCCTAGACCTTGTTATAATAGAGCAGGGCTCCTGTAAATTGAAGTCTTCAGAAGCTTAATGATTCCATTACCTCAGAAAAAAAAATAAACAACTACTTGTGATGAGCTTCTTTCTAGATTAGAAAAGACAAAAATTAGATAACTGGATGGTTCTTAAACTTGCATTTAGAACTTATACAGAATTAAACTGTCAGGCAAATTCTTACTTACCTGTGAAAAGAGATTTTATTATATTTAATACTATTTTGTATTCATGGAATGAGAGTAAGTTCTTGGTGGGGTTAGTGTTGATTGTAAAGCAGTTATGGAGGGCAGAGGTTATAGGCAATATAAGGTTAGCTCCAGTAGGCACAGAGCATTTCTCTCTCTTGCTTTAACCATTTTCAGTGACTGGTCTTGTCTTACCAAGTTTAGCTTTGAGATGCTAGAGTTACTCATTGACTGACTGTATCCATTTTTTCCCCCATTTTTAATTAATACTTTGATTTCTTTTTAAACTACCAATTCTTGTTTTCACTTCTGTATAGATTATCACATTCTGAATATCATTTACTCAGTCAATGTACTAATGTAATGTTGAGTATAACTTAAGAACTTGGAACTAATTGGGCAAGAACAGTTATGATAAATCATTTATATTCTTTGGGGTTTGTTTTAATGTATTCCCATTACTGTAGTATTAATTTTACATAGTTGTATAACATGAAAAATATCATTCGTCAGCGTGTATCTTTGGTGGTATCTGTTGAGAATATTACACACACACACACACACACACACACACACCCCTAACTACACCTACTAGGAATTTGCCTTAACATACCCAAAGTTGTCATTATACATTTTCCATCTTATTTGTCAATGAGACGGTAAGCAGGAGATAAGAATTTTAAAATGCTGCATTCTCCCAGATCCCTGGATTTGTTGTCATAATCATCTCTAGCTTGAGTTTCCTGAAGCGTGTGAATTAGACTTGCATTTTCTAAAATGAAAGGTTTTTTTTTCTTCTTGTCATAAATATGTACCTTTACCGAGGAGTCATCATTCTACAAAATGCTCTTTACAGTTTCTAGTCCAGAAGAGTTTTAGGCAAATATTTTTACATTTAAAAAGAGGAAGAAGATAATATAAGTAGAAACCCCTCCAGCTTCACAAAGTCCTGTACAAAACAGCTCAATTGACCTCTGCTTCCAAAGCCTTGGGGAACGCTTGGAAGTATAGGAAGACAGTGATTTTAGTTCTGTAAAATACTCTGGGCAGCAAAGTGCTTGCAAGGAGTGAGTCTTGTTTTTACCATTTTATGTCAGGGTTTCTGATTCTGATATTGAAGTCATGGTGTTTTGAAAGGAAGTAAACAATGTTCTTAAAATAAGTTGTCAGTGTCTTGTTTCGTACAGCGGGCAAGGAGAGCTGTGACATCAGGACATAGCTGACGACATCTGAAAATAATAGACCACTTTGAGAGATCAGGTGGACTTCTTGGTATCCTTTTTAGATGGATTTCAGACAGGTTTACTCTAGTTTTCATTAAAATAGTCAAGGGGTTAACAGTAATATTCAAAGCTGTTTAGAGTTGATGTAAAATCTGCATAAGCCATTATTTAGGAAAAATTGCAGCAGTTCTTATCTGTATGAAAATAGGACTTTTGGTACACAATTATCACACAATTTACATGTTATTTGAATGAATTTACATAGTGAGTAAAATGAAGTAGGTGTGTTTGTTAACATAGAAATATTTAAAGATGACAATATTGGGACTACAAAATGTAAACCTAATTTAAGCCAGGGTCCAGGATTAGACAGGAATTTGTTTTTTCTAACTGAGTAGAACACAGATTCGGAAAGACTTGGTCTACCTCTGTGTCATAAAACATACAAAGTGGGGCACCTTGGTGCTCAGTCTGTTAAACGTCTGCCTCTGGCTCATTTTCCCAGGGTCCTGGGCTCGAGCTCCATGTCGGGGCGGGTTCGGGGGGGCGCTGCTCAGAAGGGAGCCTGCTTCTCTCTCTGCCCCTCACCCCTCTGCTCCTGCTCTCTCTCAAATAAATAAATAAAATCTTTAAAAAATATACAAAGGTAATTAGTTAAGGAGCTAATAATGACATTCTTTACACAAAGAGTCAGATATTGTTACAAGGTAGGGACCTCTTGCCCCAGTGCTCCCAGGTGAGATACAGGACACACATTGCTGGTGTCACACCATAAAGAAAACACACACACACACACACACACAATTAGAAAACGGATGTCTACTGCTCTGAAGAAAGGATATCTGATAATCTAAGACATTTTGAGTGCTGTTCATGGAAATTTATGGCACAACTTGGCCTCTATTCATGATTTATAAATCAGTTTGCCTGTGTGTGTGTGTGTGTGTGTGTGTGTGTGTGTGTGTGTGTGTGTGTATCATGGCATATATGTGTGTGTGGTATGTATGAATGTATATGTATATGTGATGTGTGCATATGTATGTAAAATGTGTGTGGGTACAGTAGGTACATCTGTGGGATGTGTAGTGTAGTGTGCGGTGTGTGTTGGGAAAATTTGTGTGTGTGTGTGTGTGTGTGTGTGGTGGGGGTATTGTGGGGGGAGTGTGCTGGGCTGTGTAAGTGTGTGTGTATACGTGGTGTGCAG